TCACTTTCCAGCAGATCCATTTCGCTAAACGGTTAATTATAACACCACCTTCAATTAGGGGGGGGGGGAATCTTTTGTTTTTTGTACCCAGCACATCAGTAGTATGTACTACAATAGCTATACTACTTTGCAGACCACATGAATTCTATTATTTACCGGTAATTGCGTTTGTAGACGATATAGGTTATTTGGCGTAAAGAGAATGGCACCAACATGTATTTCAACAGTGGAAAACTATAAGAATTGGAGATGGAGGAACGGTTGTCTTGCGGTAGGCTGTTACATTTCTTTACTAAGTCAAGTCTTGGAAATAGAGTATTGTAGACAAGTATATTAAATTATATTCAACTTAATTTCAATTACAATATTGGAATATAAGTAATACTGAAAGAAGTATTATCTCGGTTTGGAAACACATCCAGGGAAGTGGCAATGAAATATGAAATGGTGATGATGTGGAATTTATCATTAATATTTTTAATTTTAATAGATCGTCAAAATACAGACCTTTTGTTAGTACCGTTCGAGAAAAAAATCGATTGTGAACAGAACAGGTCGAAGATTCATGTCACTATCTCTTTCTTGTAACATTAAAATTCATTGTTTTTTTAGAAAAATTGAATGCGATTCCACAAATCTCTGTACTGAATAGCGTGTTGTTGCGCGCGTTTTTAATGGATTAATACTAGAAGAAATGTGAATAGTGTATGTGCATCAAAGATGCAAGATGCGAAGAATAGTTTTGTGTAATTTTCACGTAAATCAAATGTATTTTATTGATATAGGAATTTTTGCATGTATTTATAAGATTTCTTAAAAGTCAAAAAAATATATGTTAAAGATTAGTGAAAATCTAATAACAGTCTTCTAAGGGTAAATAACTTTCGAGATTGGGACCAATTGGTGATACTTGATGTTTATATATATGATAATTTTCAATTTAGTAATTGCATTTTTGGCAATAATAAACCTTATAGAATGTGATGTGAAAATAAACATGGGAGACTTTTATCTATGCCTTTGAATTTGAGTTAGACTCCGTTTAGTGTGAAAGTGTAAATGCACACAGCATCGAAAACATGTAGAAATGTGAAGCATTCGCCGTATGATGTCCAATGGTTAATTTTAAGCTATGAGAAGCGGTTTATTTACACAAACTAGCCAGGAAGGTACCTCAGATGTCATTTCATTAGCACGTGATATAATTCGAACGTTGGTCGAGAAGTTTACTTACCTTGATCAAAATATTAACCTTTCGTCGAAAGGAGGTGGTGTCTGGCGATTTTTGCCAACCTCAAACTTGTTTTCCTGTCATCTTCATTCAGTAGTTCGAATTAACAAATTTGTTAGAAAAACGGGGAAAAAACACGAAGTAACGGAATTCCACGAATATGAGATTTCGCCAACTACTTCCGTCGACATATGGATCCCTAGCAAGGCAACGAGAGCAGTCGCTCGTCGTGTGTGTGCACAAAGTAACACAACCGCCGTAATTGTCATGTGTCAGCCGCCGTAATGAGCAAAACTGCAGAAGAGCCATTTTGCAATGACGTTGGTTGAAAAGGAGACGTCTAATGGACCGTGTTTTAAATGTTGTCTCTATTAAGACCTACTTTCCACGTCGAATACTTGATCGAATTTCCTACTATATAAAAAAAGAGAGCTACCAATGTTAATTACATGTACTGTTTATTTGCTTCGTGTTCGCAACGGGGTGATTCGTGGTAATATTCCGTGGCGATGTCTGCGTCGCGAGATGTTCGACGGTGTAATTGTTCCCAATAGCAGCAAAAAAACATGAGGAAAGGAAAAGGATCACCTGCGCTAGCAGCTGGTAACGAGCGTAGATAACTGACTCGCTAGAAAAGTAGATGAATATTTCCATGGCAAACTGACATGAGTCTATAACTCACACTTGCACATGAGCAGTGAGTGCATATATTAAAACTTTTCTTCGTAATATATGTAAACGTTTATGTGCCCATTTTTACTTTGGGTATTCCATGTCACATGAAGAACTAAATCTTAACATTAAAAACAATCATTATAGTTTTCTCTCATTCACTTATAACAAACAAATTCTTAAATAGCAAAAGCTTGGATAGAAGAGGTCCTTGTCCCTCAAAAGAATCATTTACAATGGGAACTTGATGGATTTCGTTAAAACATAATTTTTATTTTACAGTAGAATATGTCCGAAGAAAATCGCCTTGGTTATGTTCTTTCTTATTCTTGAACCACTTTAAAAGAGGTCAAGACCTATCTGATTAAGAAATCCCTTTGCAAGTTCAAAATTATCCCCAAAATATTGTTGCAATTGTAAATTTGCCTTTATTCTATTTTGGCCATAACCTGTGTCTCACACCGCTGGCGCAATCACCGAGGAGTAAACTTATTGAATGGTTGGCGCTCAGGGAAGAGCAAGGGTGCGAAGTCTGTTATTATCACAGTAGGAGGGGATTTAATTTTGAAAAACGATAAGGCCTGAAAACGTTCGTCAGAACATTGAATATAACTGAAATTGTATTGGAAATGTGTTTAAAGATTAGGTTGACGTATTCTAAAATCATAAAAGCTAGAATACGTAAGCACTGTCGCACAATCTCTCATTAGAAAACGAAAATGTGGAAGAAAGCCCCATAACTTCAGTTGTAACTTTTCTCATTAAGGTTTATGGTAGTGTATATATTTGATTATGGGCAACTTTCATATAGAATGCCTGAAATTTTCCTCAGATTATAAAATTTGTCTTTCTTGATTACAGTTATTGACCTTTTTATGTCCAGGTAAGCCAATAATTTCACGATTTTATCGCAGTTACCACCGATGTTAAGAGTCAATCACCAAGCACTAAACGCCAGGTAAAACGAATACGAGTAACGCAAGTAGAGCCAAAGAGGAGACCGCCACACTGTTCGCCGGTCCCCTCCTCCGGGCCACAGTGGGAGTTATTGATTTTACTCTCTGGGTCCTAACTAAACAACGCGTTAGGCATAGTCGTCGCCGTCGCCGTGATTCACCAACAACTATTCGGGTCGGTTTCTTAACGCAGCGGCACTACGCGCGTGCACGCGGGGCGAGGAGGGTGCTCCGTGACGGATTGCGCCACGCGGCAGAGGGCGTGCGTGGCGTGGAGGGGTACTCGTATCCTTGGCGGTGGCGCTTTGCGTTATGCCGCGCCGTTGCCCAAGCCGTCGCCACGGCGCGCCCCTCGCGGCCCGCGGAGGGGGTTGCTTACAGGGCCCCCGCGGGCAGACCCCTTAACCGAGACCTTGAGGTACTCCCGAGAAATCGATCTGCGGCTCTCGGCTCCCCGCCGCCGGCGCCTCCGCAGCCACCTTGCGCCATGGACCCCCGTGCGCGCACAGCCTATAAAGGCGACGCCTCCCCGAGGTCCGGCATCAGTTTCTGCTGAGCACTTCTGTCAGACGCCAGCTCTCGACACATCCTCCAACGTCGCAATGGCTTTCAAGGTATGCGCCGCGGAACCGCTCTGGGAACAGGTGTTAACGGTTGTTATTTTTGCAACTCGTTGGTACCAGACAATGCGTAGTTCAGTGGAAAGGATTGCTTTTCTATTGCATGCCTAGAATAAACTAGGTAATAATGTTAGCACGATGATATTCGATTTGTTCAGTTATTCCTTCATTTGCACGCCTAGTGATGGTTATCCCACACGTTTATTTGGTATTTCTTTTTAAAATAAAGTACTTTAGTTTAGAGACAGTCATTTTCAAGTCTACAAATATGTGAGCATGTTGCTGCCATATTTTGTCGTCATAGCACTGCAAAAAATAATATAATTGCCATCAAACATATTTTAGCTGCTGGTTTCGCATTACTTAATTTCAAATTTTTGAGAAAAAAGGTAATAAGACCTGTTGTATAAACTTTCTATTCCCAAACATTTTCTCTACTATCTATACAAGATGTTCATGTTGGACAGTCGATAAAAAAATAGTAACAACAAAAGTTTTCGAGCAATAATACAAAAAAAACTGCTTTTACTAGACCACTTTAAACTTCGGTATTTCGAAACATTACTACGATGTTCAATTGTTTGTTAGAGAGAGAGATAGTTAAAGTTGTATAGTTTAATAGAAAAAACGAGGAACCCTGGTGGGACACACCCGCCTTGTTAAAAGATGAACTTGGGAATGCTGTGTCAAAGCGAGAGCGAATGCCTGAGTGTCGTTGTGCCTTGCAGTTCGTCGTCCTCGCCGCCCTCCTGGCCGTGGCCAACGCCGGCTACCTGGCCGCGCCCGCCGCCGTGGGCTACGCCGCCCCCGCCCTGAGCTACGCCGCCGCCCCCGTGGCCGTGCACGCCCCGGCCATCGGCGCCTCCCACCAGAGCACCCTGCGCTCCCTGGACGGCAACTCCGCCGTCTCCCACTACTCCAAGGCCGTGGACAGCGCCTTCTCGAGCGTGCGCAAGGTTGACACCCGCATCAGCAACGACGCCGTCGCCCTGGGCTACGCCCCCGCCTACGCCGCGTCCCCCGTCTACACGCCGCCCCGTCGGCTGATCCTCCGTCGCCAAGCTCCCCGTCGCCGCCTACCCGCCGCCCCCGCCGTCGCTGCTACCACGCCGCCCCGTCTGCCGTCGCCGCCTCCGATGCGCCGCCCCGTCCCTGCGCCGGTCCTACCACGCGCGCCCCCGCCTACGCCGCCCACGGCCTATGCCGCCCCCGTCGCCAAGGCCGTCGCCCCCGCCGGTTCTCGCTCCGCCCCTTAGACTCCGTCCGCCCCCGCCGTCACCCACCTCAGCTTCGATGGGTACGGCATCCACTACGGCTACTAAGCTGATGCTCAACGTACAACTTGGAGTGAGTGGTTGAATGAGTGAGAACCCACAATAAGCTATTTATGTGCGATTGACAGAAGTAAATAAAAAACCTTAAAGCAAACTCACATTTTTTTGAAATATATCGATCATTGTTTTCGGAAAATCATTTTAACCCTGTCACGATCCTTTGTTCCCGCTCCGATTCTACGTTCTCAACAGAGCTCAGAGAAACGGCCTCCGTGCTCTCCATTGTCGTGTAGGCGATGGCGGTCCAGATACCCAGGAGGCTCGGCGCACGGTTGTGCTCTTGCGCCATGCGCATGCGCCCGCGGCAGCTGGGCGACGGGGAGGGGGAGGGGGAGAACGCAGGGGCAAGGCCCAGACCTGAGGTCCGCTTTCGCGACCCGGCAGGCCTGTCCCGTTGCCCCCACGCGCGTGCTCGGGAGAGACACGCGTCGACGCACGACCGACCGGTGCTGCTGCACGGGCCGTGACGTCGACTGCGCTGACTAGCGCGACAAACGAATGTCGGGCATTCGGAGAGAATATTGAATGATAGAAACAGAATGTAGTACAATTGCTCAAACAAAATCATATACAAAGCAATGTTTAAAACTTCTAACAGTCAATTACTCCACTGAAGAGTAGATGAGCAAATGTCCCTGGTCCTCAAAATATAACTATAGCATCCTGCAATATCCAAATACTTCTGTAGGGGTATTGTGTTCAGCGTTGCAGATGTCTGAGTAATGAATTAGTTGAACCTCACTATGGGCTAATCGCTTATTGTTTCTTGACGTTCAGGATCTCAGCCTGGTTTGGTGTAGAATGATAAGAAAAAATAAGGTTTCTCCCGTGCGACACAGCTTTTTCTTAAGACTCGTAACCTGCATCACGATTACCGTTTCCTAACACAAAAATCTATCATGAAACGCCCTGAATGTGAATTTATTCCAACCTTATGTATTACTTACATTGCATGTGAATTATTACTGCCAACAAGATATAATTTGTTATGTAATTTTATTAGCTACGACGTAGAATCAGAAGCGTTTTATTGTCGAATGGCTGTCTTGCAACAGCTATGTGAGAGCTCAAGCCTTTCTCCCTAACTATGAAGAAAAATACCATAGTTCTTCATAAGACATTCGAGAGCAGCTCATGTGAAGACTTAATAAATCATTTGTGTTATGTCTGTCCCAACATCTAATGAGAATATTTTTAAAATAAACAGGCATTTACCATAACAAAAGTTACATCATATTACGTCATAAAGACCTAACATCGCCCCTGATCACGAATTGCTACTGGATTGCCATTAGTTTGACTCTGAATGAAAATCTAAAATAAAAAAGGTAAGCATTAGTCTCTTTTCTTCTCTGATGACTTCAATGACTCGATGTAGTATGTTTTCTTCTCTGAAAGTTTAATGGTAGCACATCCTCAGAGAGAGTTCTGCTATTACAACATTCCTAAAATATCGAAGTGCTGCATTCCCTTAGTGAATATAATGTCTGTAAAATTTAAAGAGGTTTATTTTCTCAAAACTGAATATACGTCTCTAAAATGTAAACATATGATGTATTATTTCAAGGTAATAAAGTGATACCAAATACCTGTCATGCAGACTTACTTTTTTTTAATGTTATTTATATTTTTTTATTATTGTTTAATAATTGTTTATAATCAGTTATCTTTTTAAGAAAGGGCATGTTTCCTACTGCTTATTCACAAAGCTTAGCAGACAATACTGAAGATGTTGTTGATAGTTCTTCAGTGTTAACTGTTACAGAAATCTGAGCGGAAAAATAAAGGTTTCGATTGTATTAAAATTGTATCTTTTTATCAGCGTCGTGTACTTGGTGATCCTTCTTGTAAATCGATTATTTACATTTTCATAACTTTCCTGCAGTAAAAATGATTAATATTGTGTTGAATATATAAAGAAGTAAATGACTCTGTACACCATAAATTATTAGGATTTCTTGGTACTTACGTGATATAAACAATTGTAATCAGGTACGCGGTAATTTTAAAATTTCGAATAGCTTGAACAAATGCTAAGGAAACAATGAGGTATTTACATTGTATTAAAACGACTCCTTGATGAATATAAAAATAACTTAATCTCATATGAACTGCAAAACAAGTTGTATTAATCTGCTTAGTCATTTTCATCTCATTTTCAAAAATTAAAAATTAAATGACTTCAGTCAATTTTGTTTTACAAAAATCGTAATAGATTCTAGATAATTAAACAGACGATGGGAGTCATCGATATCTGTTTTTACAAGAATACACGTTATCATACTGTTTGCTCTTTGCAGACCTCGTCGTGTTAAATCTCCTTCCTTACCTTTCCCAAATTTTATTTTTTCATATAATGTAATTCCACAATAGCACTCTCAAAACTCCAATTACTTATAGGCTTTTACATCGTGCATTAGTAGAATCATAACATATTTCACGGTGTCTGTGAAGTAACGAAATATTACCTATACTAATAAAAGTGAATTCGACCAGTAACCGGCAAACGATACCACAAAAAGTAGTGTATGAAGAGATACGAAACTAGAGGCACTTCTTCGGAATTATCGCAGTGTCTTTGCAAGGTTTGCTAAAGATTAGCATAACTCAAACGCGGAAAATAAATAATTTAAATAATTTGTTGGTAGATCATAATTTTTCGCCTATAGCTAAAAACAGATTGGTTCCTAATATACTCCGCCAGAGGCCAGTAGCGGAGCAGAACTGTTACTTGATAGATTCGCTAGAGGCCAGAAGCCGTGGGTAGGACAATTTTTTTTAAATCTAATAGCAATGTACTATAAAATAAAATTAAAGAAAATTATAGTATTTTATTAAAATTTGAACCATTACAATAAAAATTATCTTAAATTCCGTGTTACATTATATTTACCTTTTTCCAGTTTCTCATAGATTCGATATGAAGAAAGTCCGGGCAATGCCGGGTATTTAGCTAATGTCTGTGGCACACGGCTATATATTGTGCGAAATGTTTTAATAGAACCGCTCATAAAACGGAAAATGAATAAAATCTAGCATCTACACGTCAAAATTCGAAATTAAAAATTGAAATAAAAAATGTTTTATTTCAATAAAGTAATTTTACTCAAGAACCAATCTGCATCAATGCCGATGGCAGCTACGCAATTGGTGCTATCAGAGCCCGCTTTCTTGAGCCCTCATCTCGCTGAGAGGAGATAACGGTCCGATTATTTCGACGGTAGGACTATTATAGCAAACATGTAACTCGTTTTTGACTTAAAATAGTATTTATTACAAAGAAGCGATCATGTATGGTTATCTGATTTTGTCTACAATAACAGAAATGCGTACTATCATGTACATCTTTGAGTCACAGTCACTGTTTACTAGCATCGAATTACTGTTGGATAATTCAAACTTATCTGTGCGCATTTCCCAACATAAGTTTGAATCATTTTCATTTTCGAACACAGTATTCCCTACAGTTGTTAGTCAAACAATTTAACTAAAAATTTGACCAAATTTGCCGTGCACAACGCACTTGTTTCACAAAGAGTTTTATGTGCGTTTCATAAAATTTGTTTTATAAAAAATCTGACATGTGAAGCAGACATGACAAGATGCTTACCAAAAGATGCGGTACTGTTTAACATTTTCGAACCTGTGAAGTATAGTTTTATTTTCAAATTATTTGCTTGATTAGCAATATATTTTGTGACTTTCATCATTTCAACTTTAATTCATTCTCATTCATTTGTTAACATCTTGCATCATTCTGACGCACCGCTCTCTCGATAATTGTGTGATACAACTCTGCTAAAACAGCAAACTCTTTGGTATAATTCGCTGAATCGTCTTAATTTATTTATAATAACAGAATACGATGAAAAGATTATAATTTATCTCATTATTGTATAAGAGAAACTGCAGTCACACAAGGAAAATGCAACGTACAAAACTTAGCAACACATGTTGCCATCGTGCGTAACTCCGAAACAATGTTTTCGGGGCTCTGAAACACACATTTTCGCGTCTCTGAGACCACGAGTTGTATTTATTGTGCAGAAATTAGAAAATGAAATATCTTTGATTTCCCTTCTATACTACAAGTACTTGTATACTTGTACTTCTATACTTGTATATACATACACCTATATTATATTATATTCCAACCCTATTTAATTCTTTTATTACCTTTTCTGGGTACTCCGTTCTAGAAAATGGATGGCCAGAAACGAGCAAAATATTTTAAGTCTCTGAAAAGATTAAATTGATTGATTGATTATTGTCTGTCCGGCCACGTCAGCTGCTGTGATTATTAGACCCGTCAGTATAATGAATGTGTGTTATTCTGGGCGATAGCTGTGATTCCGTCTCCGCACGAGAACTGACATCTAGCGCTTTGTCGCAGGGGTCGAAGTCAGCTGCAGGGGATTATGCTCTCCAGGTATCTCCCCTATTAGGACACCGACACAGCCGGGGCAAGCGCCAAGTTCTCGATTAATCTCCCGACATGTGTGGTAGTGAATCGCATGTAAGATTAAGTGTGTGTGTGTGTGAGGGGAGAAAATAGAACAAGGATGATGAAGGCAAGATCGCGCGCGGTCTGTGTCCCGTATCTTAGGGTGCTATTGCGATTGTAGCCTGTTATTCATTCGTGAAAAAGTACCGATCAGAGCAGCCGGATCCTAGAATTCTCCTTCAAGCAGCGGCTGAATTCGACCTAGCTTATCTATCGAGCTAGTGTCGAAAACCCTCCACCGTCGGCACTAGAACCCTAAGACTTCCCGATCAGAGTCGCTGCAGAGACACCGGAAATGCTGGTTGTGAGCTAATCTCAGCCTGCGATTACGATATTGGGTGTAATTGAATTACTCACGTCTAAGTTTTTTCTGTTTGTTAATACACGCTCAGAAACGTTGTAATGTTTACTTTCACAG